ATTTTTTAAAGATCTCTGTTGAAAAATAGGGGAAATTGCAGTATATTGTCTTTCAAATGACTCTTTTTCATCTGTTTGTCAGTCAAATTGAAAAAATAAAAATAAAACAATACCAACTTGTTTAACAGCTCTGCAATGCTGTTCATCTGGATAATACAGCAGCACATTGATTTTGTTTGTAATGACCCTACCTCAAACAAGACATTCGGCTGTAACTGCCACCTGTTCGTACACAGCCTCCTCTCTTCAAACATACCTTTAACCGTTCTGACTTTATGCAGGAAATTTTATACAGGTACAGCAGAAAAACTGTAGATCTCCTCTGCATCCTCTCATCTGGTCTGGTCTGATATGAGATTTAAAGCAAAGTGTAACATTCAGTACAGTACTGAAGCACAAAGGGTTTGAGAAAACAGCCTTTCTTGGAGTAGGATGAAGGTGGTGGAATTAAATGAGTTGAATTTGCTGTTTTATTTGCCGTTTCTTTAGTAGATGCTGACCTTTTTTGTTTGACACTTTTGCCACGTGAACTGTTTCTGTTTCTGACCCAATGTTGATGAGACCCATCATTGCTGGCTTTAAGCTTTCATTATTGTGTACGCTGGAAAGTAGAAACCATACCGGAAAACTGCTGTACTGATAAAAAGGCATTCTGTTACCAGAGAGCAGTGAAGTGTTTTTGTTCATTACATTTCAAACCCAAGTCTTACTTTATCCAGCCAACTTGAGTTAGGTTAGAAGAGCAGTACTGTTTATTGGAGTGTTTCATATTTGGTCACTTTGCTGTGATTTTACTTAACCTCTTCTTTTTTTCTGTTTTGTTTTTGCTTTGTTGTGAGCCCTAAGATTTTTAATTGCTGATGATATTTTTTGGATTGCTGTGCTAAAGGTTTTAAAATTTTTTTTAGGTAATTCATGTGTTAAACGTGACATTTGTGGGATAGATTCTTTAAAAATGATTGAAGTTTAATGCATAGTAAGTTTATAGATTGGAAAGCCTTTTATTTCCCCTTTATTTTTATGATTATAGTTATTAATACTATTATTAATAATACTTTACTATTTATATGGACACACTTTTTTTTATAAATATAGATTGATTTGGTTTGATAAACTGTCCATATTTCTTGTGGAAAAAAAGCATGACCAGAATTTTTTTTATTTTTAAGTGTGTCAGTGTGATTACCATTCAATGGGAAAATTCTCTGGCCATTTTACTCTGTCCCTTCACCTTTTTGTGGTCAATTTCAACAAAAGTCACCAGCAATTCAAATAGGACAATGAAGTGGTAGTTTATACATCGAAAGAAAATTATGCCCAGCATCAGCTATTGATGATGTTGTATTGATGTTCGTGATTTAAACATAAATCAGTTATCAGTCTGCCATGTTGAGGCGAATGCAAAATACAGAATCACTCATCTTTTCTTTCTTTGTGTGAGCATTTTACAGGAGTCTTTCTGTAGCTGGATTCTGCAGTGTCTGTGATTTTTATTTCCATACAGAACTATTTTCCTCTTACATTCTCTGTAATTGGTTTTTGATAACTTTTGATGTGCAAGACAATAAAGAGATGAATGAATATATATCCTTTAAGTAAAAAGCGTGATCTTTTTTTTTATTAGTTACTGAATACTTTTCATTTTGTGACCTATTGACCAAAAAAAAAAAAAAATATATATATATATATATCACAAATGCACATTTTCACAAATTACAATCAAACTTTTTACATGCTTTTTATGATTCTGCCCAGTTTTAATTCATTTAGAAATATTATGATATATAATATTACTACATTCAATTTTTACCAGTATAGTAATATTATACCGTTTTTTAAAACACTTCTCTGTTTTTGTCTAGAAAGCAACTAGAAATAACTAAAAATGTAAGAAGTACATTAGCAAAGATAATTTTTATTTGTGAATTTGACAATGACATCATAATGACACAATGTTTTAGATGGTTGATTTCTTAAATAAGCTTAACTTTGATTTTTATTTAAAACATGGTTTAGCTCACAAAAATAAACCTATTCATAACCGGAAAATTAAACACACACCAGAATGGCGTCTTCAAGATGACGTACGTAGTGTCGTCACCGGTAGTCCCACAATTCAACTCGGCGCGCGAAAACTGACTGAGGTAAACAACAGAAGAGTGCAGATCGCTGACAGATCTAGACCGAACAAACAATGAGCAAAAAAGACAGTGCAGGTACGCGATGCTTCTTTTTCTTACACTAGTGAACATTTTATGCCTTCGCTTGCTTGTGATTTCATGAATGATATAGCACAACGCTACAATACATTAATCAGCTGTACTCTTCGTGTCACACACAGGTGCCGCACAGATCCTCGCTTACTTGAATGAGAAAAACAGACCCTTTAGTGCTCAGGATGTCTTTACAAACCTACAGAAGCAGTGTGGTCTGGGTAAAACGGTAAAAAGCAACATTACATTTCAGAGTTCTGCTTTGACGACAAATGTCCAGTAGCTAAGAGAGTCTGTGATATTACAAGAACTCTTTGAAGTGTTCACCGTTTGTGCTAAATGTTATCATTTAATATTACAGTTTGTATACAGAGTGTATTATGTGGAATGATTTTATGATGTTAAACGCCTTTATTTTGTCTTCACTTAACTTACACAGGCTGTGGTCAAAGCAATGGAGCAGCTGGCCCAGGAGGGAAAGATTCAGGAGAAAGTCTATGGAAAGCAGAAGATCTACTTTGCAGATCAGGTTGGTCTGATTCCTCATTTAATATAATCGGGTGGAGACTATTTGCTCTTAATATTAAGAGAACCGGTGTTGGTTAATCAGCCTGACAGATGTCCTTTCAATCCCTTCAGTCTCAGTTTGCGGATGTGAGTGATGCTGAACTTAAGAAGATGGATGCTCGTATTGCGGAAATCAGCACTGAAGTACAGACCATATCACAGAGCTGCAGGCAGCTGGATACAGGTGTGCACTGAACATGCGCTGCTGGGAAAAGATATGCTGTTTGAACTTGTGCACCGACTGTTTGTATTTGATAAAAAGTTCATCTTTTTGCCCTCAGAACTGAAGGAGCTGAACAGCTCATTAGCCACAGCAGAGATGAAGGCGCAGATCCAGGAGCTGCAGGCAGAGTGCTCTGGGTACAGAGAGAGGCTGGATGAAATCAAGTCAGCTAAAAACCATGTGACCCCCGAGGAGAGGCAGAAGGTTAGAAATCACTGCGTTCTTTAATATCTGGTGATCTTTTTTACCTTGGCACCAAAACCAAGTGTTAACGTTTACCAGCCCTGTGCATGATTAATGAACACAAAATGTAGTGTTGAATAAGTGCAAGTGACAGTTCATCCACCGACATGAATCTCTCCCACACTGGCCCTGGGCCATTTTTATTGTACATTAAATTGCTTTTTGTAAGCAATGCAAAAAGACTTATCTTCTAGCATCTCTGGAATATGTTTGATTCATTAGGTGAAGTTTATACAAATCATGTGGCTGTCCTGGGGCAGTCAATAGTATAGTATGCTTGTTTATGTTGCTGACAAATGTATTTCTTGCCCCTCAGGTTTACAAGGAGAGAGAGACTTATGTGAAGGAGTGGAGGAAGAGGAAGAGACTGGTAATGATCCATAAAAACATTTATTCACAACTTCAGATTCTGCCCAGGAGACAAAATGTCAGCTTATTTTTAATGATACAGCTGTAAGGCATGCCTTTATGAAAGTGCATTCATTTCAGATTTATCTTTGTGTCCTCAACACCATGGTTTATTTATATACGAATGGAAACTGCTCTTGCACATTATGGTTTTTACTGTCACTGCCAATTGTCAACTGACCTAAAATGATACCTGTAATACTGCTTTATACCTTACACTATACAGATAAGACATAAGTCTTATGTACCATAATATGAAACTCCAAGCACAGCTTTTAATTTGTCTCTTTACCTGCCAGGTTACTGATATGGTTGGAGCTATTTTGGAGGGGTACCCAAAGAGCAAAAAACAGTTTCTGGTGAGTCATTTCCTTAGAACGGAAGGAACAGCCAAACCCCTTAGAAGTAACATATTTACTTGAAGTACCCCCTGAGATTTGACGTTAATATTTCATTTACAACACATTTGCTTGTTCACGATTCTCTGATGTCGGTTAATGGTCACATGATATGCAAGTAAATAGATAGTGAATCTTTAACTCGTTTCAACTCTAATCACAAAAATGAAGAAATATTACTGTTGTAAATTACAAATGTAATGTAAAATTAAAATGAATATTTGATGATAATCATAATTTTTACACTACAAGTAACAATACTGATATTTATGTCTTAAATTCTTCACTTTTTAACGTTCAGACCCTAAAGGTTTTATTTTGCCTTAATACTATTGAAATGCTGCAAATTTCTGGCCACAAAAATATTGGAAATCATGCGACTAAATAAAGTGAACCTAGCTCAAGTGGCGTACCAAAATGCACATTAAAATTGCAGCACATGCAGAGATGAAGTTTTAATTTTACATTGGATATTACCAATTATTAGCTTTTCATCAACTTGAAACTCTGAAACCTTGAAACTTCAAACCCTGAAGTCCCCCCACAAACCGCTAGGGGTTCACAGTATTTCTGTTCACAGAAAAACATTTTTAATTGTCAATGTTGCCTACCTGAGTCTTTCCTCTACATCTTGTGTTTGTGTTTGAAATCAGGAGGAGGCTGGGATTGAAACAGATGAGGACCATAAAGTGACAATGCCCAACATCTGATGGAGGACTCACTGAATAAATTCAGATGCCGCCAACATTGTTGCCGGGACGCCTAACCTTTGGGAAGGTTGGAAAGTAGAGGATTCTAGGACACCAACAGAACTGTTTTGTTAAAAACCAATCCTATTTATAAAAGTGTTGAGAAAGAACAAACAAGCTGTAAATAAGTTTGAACATTGTTTATTTTTCAATTAAAAAAATTATACTGATACAAAAATATTTCAACCAGATTGTTCCATTGAAGTCAGAAATGCAGAAGCACAGAGTCTAGTATAGTAGTTCAGCACGACGTAGCCTCGTTCTGTGAGCTGGCATTTCGCTCCACTGTATGGCTTAACTTGTAAAGACGTCCCTTATTCCAGCACAGGTCAAACAGGTGGTTGTACAATCATCTGTTATTTAAAAAAAGATCTCGATACCTAAAAATCTGTGTCCTGAGTAGACTCCAATTCTAATTTTCATTATGCCTTAACATTCATTAAAAATATAAATAGAATTGGGCGGTCACACCAAGTGAAGCTGCTACCATGCACTTCACTGATAGCTTATGCAGCACAAAAAAATACTTCACAAGAGCTTAAACCATTAACATACATGTAGAATAAAACATTATTGCGCTACACGCAGCTGAACAAAAATTGACATAACATGACAAACAGAGGTTTATCTTCCATTATTTGTACGTAGACACTGCAATCTTTGGTCACAGAATCCCAATGACAGTGGTTTAAAAGAGGAACTAAGATGGCTCAGCATTGCCTAACTTTAATTATATTAACGCATGAGGGACAGCTGTTTTTGGACGTAAAAACCAACTGACAGTGCTACATCACAGTGTAACTAGATGTCTCGGCTCCCCTTTCCAGCACTAAGCTGTTCGCAAAGGTGAAAATGTAGTTGTGCTTTGGAAAATGACTTGAACATGAGGTAAAGATGATAACTGAATGCAACATACCAAGCTTAATCATTCAAAGGCAGCTTCTGGTTTATAATGCAGCAAATTGAGACACATCTCACACCTCAGTATATGGGGTGTGAATTTGGCTGATAGCTGAGTATTCCTCATATTTGTGGTTGTCAGGATGCTATTTTATCTTAGCATCACAACTGTAAACTTGAAAATATGAATACTGATGAAGCTGTTCTGGATTTAGACAACAAAAAGAAATGATTAAACTTTAGGACTGAGGTGTGTTCGACAACACCTAAATAGAACTTACACATTCTTACATTTTTCAACCAGCTGAAGATGTGTAAGGAAACAGAATATGCAATCGCAAACATATTGGAACAGATTATTACCTTCCAAATTATTAGTAAGAAAATGACAGATTTGACTAAATTATTGCATTTCCACATTTTTTGATTGGAATCACTGCCATAAACACTTCACTATATCAGTCAATACTTGAGCAAGCGCTGCTACATCTCTTCAGAGTTCTTGAACGCACCGCAGTCCATTGGAGAGACTGTTCTTGAACGAGCTATTAGCCTGAGAGACAGACAGACAGCTTCAGTACAGCTGACCATTCACTTGCTGCAGCACAGTCACCACAAACTCTCTCAGCGTCTGTCAACAATACAGAAAAACATGGTCAGTCTGGGAGTTTCCAGTGTTTATCTAAGCCCGTGTAGGTGACTGAAAAACTGAAGCTGGCTGTCGCTTGTGTAGTGATCAGGTTGTCTACATTGGTTTGAGTAGTGTTAATGTTTTTATGGCACGTTTTGCATGTTTAATGCATTTCTGGGTTGTTTTGTCTTGTTCGTACGAATACATTTGAAGAGCCAGGGTTCCCACTGTCTGGAAAAACCTGGATAGCCTAATTTTAAGTGTGATTGCTAGACTTGGAAAGTCATGTAAATTAATAAAATATTAAATCGTTGCTATATAATATGTTTTATGAATATACTTTTTTTTTCTAGTTTTCACACTCTGAAATATTTTATTAGGTAGAAACTGAGTAAAAACTATTTTTCAAATCCCTTCTGAATTCTTATCCAGTAAATCACAAACAACTGGAAAACTCATGGGGCCTTTAAATATTGTTGTGGGCCTTCAAGAAAAAAAAGCTGAGAACTGCAACATAGCAGATAATTCAGGTATGAACAGGCCTTAAATGTGTGAGCATGTGCATGTGTGCTACCTGGGGCTTGCAGTGTTCCTCGATCCAGCTGAAGACGCAGGCAGAGAGCTCCTGAAAGCTGTTGACTGACACTGAGGCACTGAAGGACTGGAACAGAGAATCCATGATGCTCTGAAACACACTGAACTTCACCTGATCTGAAACCTGCTCGCTGCCCTGCTGAGGGTTATTCTGATGGGCCTTCACAATGTGCTCATAGTTCCTGAAACAAACCCCACAAAGTGTCCATTAGAGACAGTAGCTAAGAATTTTCTTCCTCCCTTCCTCTTAAAGGTCTTAAAGGGTGTTATCTTTCTTGGCAGAAGAGTGACAGTGTCAGATAAAACCCTCTGAAAGAAGATAAAAACCCTGTAGGAGAATACGTGGAACTACATTTGTCCACTTAAGCAGTTCAAATGTTTCTGACCCCCCTTTTAAATAACCGACCACTCACGTTTTCATAATTTTCAGCGCCATCACCTCCTTCCTAAGAGTGGAAACATCCTCTTCCTGCTTCTTCTTTTCTTTGTGGAGAAACTGAATGTAGTCGATTGCTGCAAACACACACACAAGTCACTGAGCTTTTCCATTCCATAGTAAAAGACATGTGACAAGGAAATATAAATAGATAATGAAGGTTCTCACTCTTCTGCAGGACTGTAGCTTTACTCATCTTCTGTGTGGCCATGGCAAAGTCCGACTGCTGCTGGCATGTAGGCACTATAAACTGCAGGTCATCATAGCCTTTCTGTGGGACAGAGATCCACACACACATTTGAGTGACAAAAGTAGAATGCTAGAAGCACGGGACTGTTCTCTTTTATACGCGAGTAGCTCACGATCCAGTGTTTACAGGTTCACAAAGTGACTCTGCTCCACATGAACTCATCTCTGCATGTTTTGGGTTGCTTGTAATGTGTATTTGGGAACACAACATGCGCTGACCAACTTCACAAATTTGTAATAAAAAGCGCTCAAAAACCAGCTGTTGTCAACAAAAGAAGCTTTAAAGGATCCCTGCGATTGCGATTTATTTATTTTATTTAGTTCCACCAAAACTAAAGCTTGATGGATTATTATTATTATTTTATTATTAGTAGTAATATTGCTATATAATCACAAGGTGTTTGGCCAAATTGAGCAGCCCTACAAACAAGCACAACTTAATAAAGCTTAATAAAAAATCATATTAACAATTTTTATCAGGGAAAAAATGTAATAAAACAAAAATAATTTGCTATTTCCCCCCACAAATTGTGCAGACCTATGTTGGCAAAATCATTATTTCTCTGCCTTTTTTTTTCTTCTTTTTTTCCCAGATTTAGTCTCTTAAAATAGTATGAAATGAAAGTTAAATCAATCCAAAGACGGACATCTTTGGCAGTTACATCTCATCTTGCAGCATATTCTTAAGGCAGCATGTCAAGTTAAACATATTTCAACATAAAAAAAACCCCGCATCTCATGACACTGTTCCATTTCATTGCATCAGACGGAACTGCAATGCTGCCGCCCTGAACTGAAAGTCACAGAGTACAGCTGCTGTCAGAAAAGCAACTGAACCACAACTTAACACCCAAAATACCACCATAACCTATTGTAATATTACAAATGGAATATTTTGAAGTTTGAATGTAATCAAGTCAAGTAATTACTGTGCTTTTATGATTGATTATTGCGGTCACTTATGTAAGCTACTATATTTTCTGTCTTTGTTTTCCCCTAAAACAATTTGCTCTTCTCACTCTTACCTTAATGGCATCTCTGCGTTTCTGCTCTGCCTGTGTGTGTGCCTGTCTCCTCCGGTCTTTATACGACTCCTTATAGGGCGTCTCATGTCTGTTGTCACTGTCTTCATCATCTAAACCAAAGGGATGAACCGTATGTTAGCAGACTGTATCTTGATGTCTGTCTTTAAAGTTGCAATAATCAACACATATTTCCTTTTATATTGTGACGTACAGCTGAGTGTAACATAATTGAAAAAGAAAACAATAAAGGCCATGGACTTGGTTCTTTGCATCAGAGGCAGATGATTGGGAGCCTGCAGGAGCAGGGATTAAATGCTTGGAAGAGTCTGGCATACGTATGCATGGATTTAATTGTTCACAATTAGATCTAACACATGCATTTTAGAAAACAGATGGGTGAATTTTGTCTTTTTCATGACAGGGAAACGATGACCATTTTAGAGTAAAGGTTATAAAATAATGGCCATGTTTGATATTAGATGACTGAGATTAGTATCATCACCTGTGTTTGGTACTGAAGAGGCACTTGTGGATCCAATGCTGTTGGCTCTTGACACCAAACTTCCTTTGTGAGCACTCTCGGCAAAGAAACCTAATGATATGGACATTTGGACATATGGTTACTTCAACATTTGACAGCACAAAGTAGTTTCAGTTTTGTCAAGTCCACCCTATGGGTTAATTATATTTGTATAACTGCAAATCTAACCTTCGTCTTGGCACATAAGCTGGAGAAAAAAACAACAAAAAAAACAGTAGTTGAGACTCTCAGTAATATTTTATAGCTCAGGCACTCACTGTGATCGAAGCCGTTGTCGCTGAAGGCGCCGTCCGTCTGCTGAGACATGGTGACGGGTGATGTAAAAAAGACAAACAGAAGAACAGTCAAAGCCAGCCAGACTAAACATTCAGAGACCAGCAGCCAACTGATGATCTCACATGCAAACTGAGCCTGACCTGTCCTGCCTTACCTTTATCTAGGACACCTCTAACTCCCCACTGTGATGTGTCCCAAATAACCCCTTTAAAAGGTGACATTTAATCTACATGCATAATCAGTGGTCGAATTTTAATTTTTTTTAAGGGGGATGGTGGGGCGGGGGATCCTGTGATTACAAATTATTACAAATTTGTCTAACTTTTTTTATTATTATTTAACAAAAAATAAGCTTTATAAAGTGATCTGTGGTTTATGAGCTGTTTTCCTTATGTCAAAAGTTGTAAGTTTTTTGGGGGGTGGGGTCTTCACAATGTAGGTTAAACCAGTGCACACACACACAAACACATGCACACAATCTCTGTGTGTCTGTGTGCCAAATGACCGAAATGATGCCCCTTGTGTGGCATGTTCACAAAAAAAAAATATATATTTTTGGGGGTATTTTTTTTATTAATATTTTGCTGAGTGCTGGTTTAGGCCTGTCATGGATAAAGAAATATGACACTAAAACCGCCAGTAGGTGGCGCAAGTATCTGTTTTAATGAATGATTCATTGAATCCTTCAATCAAACGATTCTTTCAAAATGGCTGATTCAATTAGAATTGAAGCAAGTTGACTGTCTTTATGAATGGATCATTGAATAATTGGCTCACTTGATTCGTTCAAAAAGAGATTAATTCATGAAAGAAACACTGCATGCTCTTGAGACACACGGCAGATCTACTCCAGCTTTGTTTGCAAGTATTTCATTTGCAAAACAGGAAAAAAGACTAAATGTGTCTAAAATATAACTCACTCAATTAACTTATTGACTATTGAAGGCTGTATAAAATAACTAAATAGGCTAAAGATAAAAAATAAAAACTCACAGGGATATTTATCTTTCATTATTTTAATTATCTTCGTTCTAATAGACTTCATCATGCAATGAATGCTTTTGGACTCGAGACGTTTGTTTTTTCCACACTTCATAACAGTGGTGTAGGCAGAATTTTATTTTTGGGCGGGCCAAAAGTGAGCGGGCACCCATTCCCAATCCCCCCCTCGAAAAACTCCCGTCTCATTTTCTCCTCCAACTTCAAAATCATCCTACATTGCTGATTTACCTTTTTTTGTAAAGGGCGTTTGACTTTCTTTGCATGTTCACTTTGTAAACACTGGGTCGGTACTTCTGCAGCGATGTAGGACGATTTTGAAGTTGAAGGAGAAAATGAGATGGGAGTTTTTCGACATACCCCAACTGTATGAACAGGCATTACGAGATTTTCGGTTTCAGTGGGTGGAGCACACACGAATATTCATGAGTTTCAGTTCGTTGTGCTGTAGCTTGCAATGCTTTAAAACTGCCTGTTGTTAGTTGTTATCATTTTGAGTACAACAGCTGAAATAAACTTGTATCTGTGGATCGTTTTTCATCTATCCTGCTGTGATTGTTCTTAAACTGTTAGGCTTAGGCTACATTTACAAAATGAATAGGAAACTAAGACCACACACACAAGCATTAAAGTGTTCCTTTAATAAGTAAAATTTCGGATTAAACAATATTGTATGGACACAAGTTTAAAAAGTAGCCTATATCTGGTACACTGTAAATGAGAAAAAAATACTTCACAGCATTTTATGGAATGGAATAAGAAACTAATTTCATGTTAAAAAATAATTTTATTAACAAATGTTCCTAAGTGTGCTTATGCTTGTTTTGATATGATATATACACAATACTGTTCTAAGGATTTGTATTAGTAAGGTTCTTTCTTCATGTTCACCAACTGCATTTAGGCTATCAGATTAAAAATATTAAAAAACATTAATATTGTGTTTTTTGTCAGATCTCAACTTCTCCTCTTCAGTGTCTCATGATCCTTCAGAAATTATTCTAATATGCTAATTTGCTGCACAAGAAACATTTCTGATTATCACAGTTGAAAATGGTTGCACTGCTTAATGAAGTGTGGAAACATTATACAGCGACAGGATTCCTTGATGAATAGAAAGTTCAGAAGAACAGCATTTATTGGAAATATAAATCTTTTTTTACATTATAAATGTCTTTACTGTCATTTTTATTAAATTAATGCATCCTTGAAGAACAAAAATATACATTTCTTAAAAAAAAAAAATCATAGTAATCCCAAACTTTTGGGTAACGTCATGTATCAAATGCCAGAATCAAGTTAAGAAATGTCTCTTTTTTTTTTTTTTTTAGCTTTATTATGTCATATTTTTATACAGCAGATTCTACAAGGACGTTAACATCACACTCTCGTCTCCTATGTTGTCTTGTTTTAGTGCATAAATCTTTTTAGTTTGTAACAAGGATTCAATAGTGATTCATGCTCAATTCAGGAAAACTTTACTTTATTAATCATCCTCCATGACTAACATTTTCCTGGATTTTGAGTGTGAATCACTATTGAATTAATTAATTTTAAAACAAAATGTCACT